GTTCCTTACTCCGAGTAGAATCAATTAGTTTCTTAAACCAGGTCACTCCACCAACATTTATCCAATCCGAACCCCCTTACTGATTCTCTTACCCACTGATGCGCAGCTACTCGCCCCTTCCCCCTCTTGAAACAAAGACCGCGTTGGTTGAATATGCGGAATCAGGCGCGGCTCTCGCGTTTCTCACAACCAGACTTCTACTTATTACCAACACAGAAGGAGGGGGAGGACACAAATGTTGAAGACATTATGATACTTTCAACTCCGCCCCACTAAACTAACTTGAACTCCGCCTTAGGGAGTTTGACAACTGTGCACCCTAGTCGGGTCTGCAGAGGCTGCAGGAAAACGAGACGATGCACTGCTTAATCCGTATTTTCGTTTTTTGTGAGGTTCCAGAGGATGTGAATTGCATCACAGTACACAAAACTAACTGACATCAGTACATAAAAGTAAAACACTGAGTAACAAAGATTGATCAATATTCTGGTAAAGAACAAAAATGAATTGAGAATTAAGAAGATGCTCACTGCATTCCTGGTCCCATTGTGCGCTTTGCCATTTCTGGAAAAGGCTTTCGACAGACACCCAAATGAGGATACCTGAATGTTATCATAAGAGATGCCCACTGAAGCCACATGGAAAGTGTAGGTTCTTGCACATTTTTTTCAAAATTTCAATCTTCTATTAGCGAGCAAACAGTGAGATATTTTTTCGTTGCAGAATTCTTGGGCTCCTGCTCACTAGCCTACAGGAAGGCAGCAGAAAAACGTTGAAAGAAATTGGCAAAAAAAAACAAGGGATATGTTGAGCAACTTGAGCAGCTTGCTGGGCTTCATCGTCCGCAATTTCGGACTGCATTAGAAGGCACGGCGCGCCCAAAATTTGGGTCAATAAAAGCCTCGTTAGCGTTGTTTTATTTTGTGAATTTCATTTCAAAAAAAACTCACCGTTGCATCATTTTACACCATACTTTGCCTAATTGATATCCTGTGTATTCAAAAATTGTCGCAATGACAACCATAAAAATAACTCCGCCAATGAGACCTGAAACATAGGTACGAACTTTGAGCAACCTGATATACAGTTATGTTCGCATGAATGGATGATAAGGGGTATCAGGGGGATAGTTTTAGCGCGGCGCAGCTTGTACTCCACCAGTGACTACGGTAATAACTTGTGGGAAACGACTGATATGTTTTTTTTGTCGCTTATCGTCCCAATAGCTGATGGAGAAATCTCTG